TGTCTACCTTGATAAAATACATGAGAATAAAAAATTATTTCAGTAAGCCAATTAACTATATAAATAAGATGGCTGGCCTATTCCTGAAGACAATTTAGAGTGCCTTAGAAACATTTTATCTAAGAATACGAAGCATGGGGGAGGGAGGGCAGAGATGGTTTGGTCAACTGTCTCTAATGGAAGTACACAGGGGAGTAGTACATGGGGAATTTCAACCCCAGTAATATTGTCTTAAATATCTGAAATAATATAGATAAAATGTTAAGATATTCAGTCAGTCCTAGCCCTTAGTTAGTACATTGGTATTCAAACTTAGATTAATGAAAAGAAAAGGGTATAACTGGTTATCCAACAAATGTTAATGAAATAGTTACAGATGTGTCTAAAACAATAGTGATAGTGAAGACAAATCAAATTTTCAATTCTAATATCATTTTGGCACAATTAACATTTGGACTTCTCAATCTTGGTCTCAATCTTGGCACTATTAACATTTTGGACTGGATAATTTTTAATTGTGGGGAACCGTCCTGTGCATTATTGGATGCTTAGCTGCATCCCTGGCTTCCACCCACTAGATCCCAGTAGTAACTCTGGCTGTGACAACCAAAAATGTCTCCAATTATTGACAAATGTCCCCCAGGGCATAAAATCACCCTCCATTGAGATTACTTATCTAAAGTGTTGAACTGATTGATTTCACAATTCCCTCTCCCCAAATCTCTTTGCAACCATAACATCATTAAATTAACATGATTAACAAAGATAATTTTAACACCTGGCATGGGCAAGGAGGAAGACAAAGAATAAAGGAGTAGTAATAAATAGGAATGAAATACTAATACATGCTTTAATATGGATGAACCTTGAAATCATAATACTAAGTGGAAGAAACCAGTCACAAAAAACCACATATTATATGATTCCATTTATATATAATGTCCAGAACAGGCAAATCTATAGATACAGAAAATAGATTAGTGGTTGCCTAAGGATGGGGGCTTGAGCGGTGATGGTGGTGTGCAGGATGGGGAGAAATGAGGAGTCACTGCTAATGGATACAGGGTTTCTTTTGCGAGGGACGAAAACTGGTTGTGGTAATGGTTACACAACTCTGTAAATATACTAAAAAGCATTGAATTGGACACCTTAAATGGGTGAATTACATGGTTTGTGAATGATGTCTCAACAAAGTTATTACAAAAAACAAAAGAAAGCAGTAGTATACAATACAGAATTAGGCTGCATTGACAACCTAAGACTGATACAGAAATCCCTTTGCCTTTTACGTCTTTTTTCCCCGGAAGTCTCAATGAAATTTCCAAGGGAAACTTCCATCTCCCTAAAGATAATATGAAAGCAAAAATGTAGCATATCATTCTAATAAGGGCAAAACTGATGATGGTCTGGGAGGCTGAGGTGGGCAGATTTCTTGAGCTCAGGAGTTCGAGACCAGCCTGAGCAAGAGCGAGACCCTGTCTCTACTCAAAATAGAAAGAAATTGGCCAAACAACTAAAAATAGAAAAAATTAGCCGGGCATGGTGGCACGTGCCTGTAGTCCCAGCTACTCGGGAGGCTGAGGCAGTAGGATTGAGCCCAGGAGTTTGAGGTTGCTGTGAGCTAGGCTGACACCACGGCACTCTAGCCCAGGCAAGAGAGCGAGACTCTGTCTCAAAACAAAATAGAAAGAAATTGGCCAAACAACTAAAAATAGAAAAAATTAGCCGGGCATGGTGGCACGTGCCTGTAGTCCGAGCTACTCGGGAGGCTGAGGCAGTAGGATTGAGCCCAGGAGTTTGAGGTTGCTGTGAGCTAGGCTGACACAACGGCACTCTAGCCCAGGCAAGAGAGCGAGACTCTGTCTCAAAAAAAAAAAACTGATGATGGTTGTCAAAATAAGTCACTTTATCACAATCTAGTCTTATGTTTAAAAAATATAGAAATATTGATATAAAACAACAGTAAAAGACAAAAAAGATACGACATAAAAACTAACTCAAATCAACTGAGGAAAATGACAGCCTAAATATTGGTAAGTATTAACAAAATGTTCATAAAAAATTTAGCACAGA